AATTTGGATGCCTTTTATTTCTTTTTCTTGTTCATTTGCTGTGGCCAGGACTCCCAGCACTATGTTGAGTAAGAGTGAAAGTGGACATCCTTGTTTTGTTCCTGCTCATAAAGAAAAGGGTTTCAGCTTTTCCCATGGAGCATGATGTTGGCTGTGGGTTTGTCATATGGCCTTTGTTATGTTGAAGTATATTCCAGCCCCTCTTTGCTGAGAGTTTTTATCCTTAATAGATGTTGGATTTTGTCAGATGCTTCCTCTGCGTCTTTAGATACGACCGTATAATTTTATCCTCCATTTTCTGACGTGGTGTATTATGTTAATTGATTTGTGGACATTGAACAAACCTTGCATCAAGTGGGAATAATCCCGCTTGATTCTGGTGTATGATCTTTTCAATGTATTGCTGAATTTGGTTTCCTAATGTTTTGTTGAGGATTTTTGTATCTATATTCATTAGGGATGTTCGCCTGTAATTTTTGTTTTTTGTAGTGTCTTTGGTTTTGGTATCAGGGTAATACTGATCTCCTAAAATGAGTATGGGATCCTTCTCTCCTCTTCAGTTAGTTGGAATATTTTGCGAAGGATAGGTATTCTTTGAATGGTAAAATTCACCTGTGAAGTCATCTGGTCTAGGACTTTTGTTTATTGGGAGTATTTTTTATTACTGATTCCGTTTCATTAGTAGTTATCAGTCTGTTCAGATTTTTTTCTTTTTTTCTGATCAGTCTTGGAAGATTGTATGTTTGTAGGAATTTATTAATTTCTTGGTTGTCCAATGTGTTGGTATATAATTGTCTATAGTATTTTCTTCTAATCCTTTGTATTTCTGTGGTATCAGCTGCCACTTCTCTTTCATTTATGATTTTATTGATTTTGGTCCTCTTTTTTATGATGCGTCTGGCTAAAGGTTTATCAATTTTGTTTATGGTTTTTTATTTATTTTATTTTTATTTTTAATTTTTTTTTAATTTTAATTTTTGTTTAAAGTATTACAGATGTCCCTTTTTCTCCCCAATGACCTGTTCCCCCCCCCGTTCTTTCCCCCTCCCC